TGTCTATCAGCGGAATGGTTTGGAATGGTCGAATATCAACGGGAAATCTCCTTTTATCTCTAGTCATTATTTTAGTTACAAAGGTCAATCCAATGGTGCACTTCGTCTTGGCTATGACGATAAACTACATCCGCGTCCTGGGTTAGACGATAAACTATGTTCAACAGCAAGGCCTCTGATCAAGAGGTTTTTGAGGAACGTAGAACCGTCTCTTAACTGCTGGTGTTCCCAGGACTACCCTGACCCGGGGTGGTAGCGCCTGTTAGGGTCCCAGCTATGGGCAAGTAGTTAATACCCAAGCTTGTGTAAAAGTAGGTTTTAATACCAGAAATACTTTGTAATAATAATAATAATAACAATAATAAAATATTACCAGCAACAATTTTTGAAGGAAAAATTATTATCAGCAATAATTTAAAAAAAATACCAGTAATACACACAGCTAAACATTTTTTGAAAAAATATTACCAGCTATATCTTCAAGGAAAAATATTTCCAGAAATAGATTTTAGAAGAAAAACATATTAACAGCAATAAAAATTGAGGTTGATATTCCGTAAAAAAACCCCAAAAAACCCAAACCAATGGTGCTCTGACACAACCATGATTTTGTCTCAAACATGATAACATGTTAGGATTATATCAATCTATTCGGATATATATCATTCCCACAATGATACTGTGCGTTATGTCTTAACAGTTCTTGGTTAATAAACATTTACAAATCCAACTTACAATCGCAGTCATTTTTGGGGCGGGTTGGGGTGATATATCCAAAATTAAAAATCTTCTTGAAAGGGCGACGATTTGTAGACATCTCTGATATCCAGCAATGAATGAGGACCTAAACGAAAGTTATTCGGGCAAATAAGTTCCAATAATGTTACCAACAATAGTATCATGGTCTCACGAAGTGAATACTTTTAACAAGAGAGACTACATCGCGGTCCGAAAGTCTTGTCACCCCATACTATAGAGTAATGAGAACAATAGAAGAACAAGTAATACAAAGCAAATGTACTGGATTAGATGTAATAGATGACAATACAAAACACCCTCATAGTTAATCAAATGAAAGGATGTTAAAAAGTGGAGGGTCAGTTTTGTATTGATCTTTAGTATTAAACACATCCTCCATTTCCTGGCCATAGTACAGGAAGGGTTAGGGTTAGTCCGAAAGTCTTGTCACGCTCTATCAGAAGAAGAATAATGAAAACAATATAAGAACAATTAATGGAGTAATACAAAACACATATATTGGATTCAGTTTATTCACTTTCATTGACGCTGTCACACATCTTGAAAATCTATATGAAGGCCATCATTTTCGTGTCAGCGATTTGAAAATGAAAATTATATCATGAATTTCGGACCACTTTCTATTTTGAAGGCACCAACAACCAACAAGGACAAGGCATGCACATTCTGTTTTTACAAGGTCATTCTGTAAATTCCAATAATTGATGTTATGCATAGCATCGAATTCGTTCAAAAATGCCTAAACTATCAGCTATATTGTTATGGGAACTTACCCATAAGAATAATGAACTATTCCTGACATTATAAATACTGCGCCTCTCAAGAGGTATCAGAGAAGATTGTAAGACGAGGAGAGATAATTGAGAGCATATTGTAAGCACACTGGAATAGTGATACTTGTCGAGACAACATAGTTCACTCTAACCAAATCTGATAGTCATTACTAATACTTCTCCTTCTTTGTATTATATTTCTGTTGTAATATATCTTTGTATTCCATACCTGTGTTCGTGTTATTCTTTCATTGGTTCTAACCTTTGACCATCACCGTGGTACAAGGAAATTGAACCATAACAAGTGGCAACGAGGAAATCCTTAAAAAAAAGGAAAAAAAAAAACGAACTCTCTACGCGGAGGACATACCTTTTTTTTGCTATCCATCGCACATAACAAGTGGTGACGAGGTAACCCAAGAAACCAACTCTGTACGCGAAGAAAAACATTTTTGCTATCCGTCGTACATAACAGTGTCGACGAGAAAACTGAAGAAACAAGTTCTACGTGGAGATTCTAAAAAACTAGTTCTACGTAGAGATTTCTAAAAAACAAGTTCTACGCGAACATACATATATATATATATATATATATATATATATATATATATATATATTTTTTGAATATCAACTTTACTGTGGTAACAAAGACACAAGTTCTACACATGGTATTTTTTTGGCGTACATAGGTTCCAGAATATCAGGCTACACTAAAGGAAAATACTTACACAAAATTACGTTAACATGGAAGATTTTAAGTCAATCATTGTGAAACTTATGAAAATCCAATTTACACAGCAACAGAAAAACGAAGAGAAACATCTTGGATTACAAGAATTATTGCTACGTGTAATGTCAAATAAAGGGCAAAATTCTGAAAATGAAACCGTTCTCTCACAAGACGCTATTTGGAGCACTATCGAAGATTTCACGTATGCACCCGACGAAGACAAAACCTTTGCAACTTA